AGAATCATAGAATGGTTTAGGTTGGAAAGGACCTTGAAGATCATCGAGTCCCACCCCCCTGCCCTGGGCAGGGACACCTCCCACCAGCCCAGGTTGCCCAAGGCCACCTCCAGCCTGGCCTTGAACACCTCCAGGGATGGGGCCTCAACAACCTCTCTGGGCAACCTGTGCCACTGCCTCACCACCCTCACAGGGAAAAACTTCTGCCTCATGTTTAATCTAAACCTGCCCTCTTCCAGTTTAGAGCCATTCCCCCTCGTCCTGTCACTCCATGCCCCAGTAAAAAGTCCCTCCTCAGCTCTCCTGGAGCCCCTTTAGGCACTGGAAGGCGGCAATAAGATCTCTCCGGAGCCTTCTCTTCTCCAGGCTGAACAGCCCCAACTCTCTCAGCCTCTCCTCATCGCAGAGGTGCTCCAGCCCTCAGATCTCCAACTAGATCAGGTTGCTCAGAGCCCCGTCCAACCTGGCCTTGAACACCTCCAGGGATGGGGCAGCTAACACCTTTCTGGGCAATTCAGGGTTTCACCACCCGCAGCGTAAAACTACACGTTCTTAAATCCACTTACTTGCCTGCTGGAGTCTGAAAAACTGAATAGACGGGCAAATAACTGAGCAATAGAAAGCACCCGATTGCATAAATAGACTGTGTTAAGTAGAGCCATTGATTCTCAGTGCCCCAAAAGAGCAAGAGGGAGGTCAAGTGATGCCAGTTTGCTAAAGTGGAATACTCTGGGTATGTTTAGGCTGCCACGTATCACCCATCCCCTTCAGAAATAAAGAACTAATGGAGAATGTAGAAGTAAAGCATTAAAATAAGTCAATACCATTAATTTCAGCCTATGGGACACTACAGAAAGCAGAGCCTCCCCGAGATCCATGGCTTCATAGAGATGGCGCTGAGCTTGACGGGTAGCAGTCAAGGCAAAGAGGGTTTTCTATCAGCATATCTCCTGCCCGAAGGTCCCAGGTGTCCCAGGATGAGCAGTGAAAACTCCGCATGACCCAGCCGCGCTCCTGGGTTCGGGGCAAGTTCTTCCCTCCCCTGCTGCGCCCCAGCACAGCAAAGGTTGGGCTGCTGAAAACCACTTGCTTAAACAAACTAGACGCTTTCCCACCGCGAGCAAAACTGAAAGCAACCCTGGAAACATCTGCGGTGGGAGCCACCAAGGAAAGGTCCCCCATTTAGTCCCACCGCCTTTGCCCCAGGCATCCTCTCCGAGGGGAAGGGGTCCCACACCAGCGGCACTGGAGGAAAACTAGTACTGACACGAAATGACTTGCTACCCCCACGCCGGCTCCAGCACGGCTCGGCTGATGTCCTTTGTGCGGGGGCAGCTCTGACAACTTCCATCTGCTCTGGTTTTGTGGGCACACTGGGAAATAACCCACACGAGGGCCCCACCTCAGTTCTGTTAACCCTGGAAGGGACATGGGAGCTGACTGCTTGGGGCACCTCTCAGTTGGGGTGGGGGCTGGAGCTGCCCTTCCTCCTTAAAATCAGCTGCTACACTGCAGCCCCCCCAAGTCCTCTGCCATCTTCTCTCTTCTCTTCTCTTCTCTTCTCTTCTCTTCTCTTCTCTTCTCTTCTCTTCTCTTCTCTGCTCTTCTCTTCTCTTCTCTTCTCTTCTCTTCTCTTCTCTCCTCTCCTCTCCTCTCCTCTCCTCTCCTCTCCTCTC